TTGAGAATCAAAAAATAAGACAGTAGAAAATAATTTCAACTAGCTTTCCTTGGCTCATAAGAAAAATTCCAATTGCCAGGTAGCAATTTGCTTTGTAGCAAGGAGCATTTGCCAAGTAGCATTTGCTTTGCTAATCTTAATCACTGCACTTTGTAGTAATGATGGCTTTTTTTTGTTTGTTTGTTTGTTTTATATTTAAAGAGGTTTTTAAGGGCATGTTTTTGTTTTGTTTATAGATCTCAGAACTGATCCGACTTCTTAAGGCAAGAAGTATTTTATTAACAATAATTTTTCAGGCATAAATTTTTCAGGAATAAAACTTGTTCATGTTACACACTTTATATCAACGTGAAGACTCTACTCAAAAAGAAAATTATAATAAGTTCTCTAAAATATTATCCATCCAAGAACATCTAAAGTCATTCCAGACTCACTCATAACAGGCTCACTCATAACTCATTGAAGACGTAAAGACTAAAAAATGTTATATCTTAAGGACATGAACTAACCACCTTTAATAAAGAGAATCATGCTTTCATTGCAAATGTTTTCTTTAATAATTTCATATTTTATGATAAATATTTTGAGTCATTTATGTTCTTTTGAGTCACCTGGGCCTATTATCTGCTAAAATATTTATTGGATTAGATACACTAAACTAAGCTAATTCCAAGTGGTGGCTCAAAGGCCACCAAAGGACTCATCAACCACTTTCATCTGGTGAAATATGGATTTTCCTATTCCATTATACATAGGAGGTAAAAATCCCACACATTTAGCATGTTAATTCTGCATTTCTAATTTCAGCGTTCTGTTGTTTTCTCTCCAAATGAATGGGATGCAAACCAAAAAATGCATAGAGACATTTTGATAGAAAGGTTTTCTCAGAAGTCTCAAATGAATTCCAGAAGTCTCGAATGAACCCGTGAGAGTTTTACTTAAATAGCTTACTGGAAAAGTATTATATTTATTTTTGTCATATCTCAATTTCTAGAGTTTTTTACTTAGCTTCCAAGAGATAAAAGCAAATATAATTTTTGGAACTCATAGTGTTCATAGAATTTCATCGTGTGAAATTCAACCAAGTGTTGGGAACATAAATTTCTCTATTGTGTTGGGATAAAGTTCATTTCTGAAAGCCAAATAAGTCTAAGGAATTCATGGCATGAACGGTAAGCATCTAACAAGGGAAAGTGGTATTGTTTTCCAAAGCAGCTCTAAAGTAAGACTTCCCACAGCACTAACAACCTAAGTAACTAAAATCCATTAATGCTTGGTCTACACTTGACCAGAGGAAAGAACTTTAAGGTTGAAAGTCCAACAGTTGCTATAGAACATAAATAAATAAAAGTAATAAAAAGAGAATAAAAACATACAAGACAAGATAGAAAGAAAGAGAGAAAGAAGAAAAGAAGGAAAGAAGGAAAGAAAGAAACAGAAGGAATAGAATAAGGACAGATAAAGGAAGCAAGTCTAGATTGTACATAATGGAGATTAAATGGTAGAAAAGTGGACAAATATTGTTCTCTACATGCATAACACTTCAAATCAGTCACAAATATTTTTTTTTCTGACTAATTCTAATCAAATTAGACTGTCCTGGTTTTCCTCTGTCTTCAGTTAGGCCAACAGTATCTTCAACTAATGTTGCAGTCTATGTCACATAACTGAAGTTTCTGTGCTAAAAGAGAATTGAGTATTGTTGCATTTTAATTAAATAGTTATTCTTATTTTATGGTGGCCCAGTTGTTTTCTATGAACACATACATATTATTGTATCTGAAGGTGAAAGATACGTAAGTTTATTCCACTTGACTTACATTTACAAAACCAGTCTGCATTTCAGACAATATTAAATGAATAAGAATTCCCCTAACATTAAAACTCCTGTTTATGTGACAAAAGCTATCATTTTCTAAAATATGTACATGAGGTGTATTTCACCTGACTACAATTTTACCTGAATTAGATCTGTACCCCTTGTTCTATTTCTTTGCATGCAAGACACATCAGAATCACAGAATCGATCATCTAGGTTGGAAGAGACCTCCAACATCACGGAGTCCAACCTCTGACCTAACAATAACAAGACCTCCACTAAACCATATCTCTAAGCTCTAATGTTTAGTGTCTTACTCCATACCAAGCAATAAACTTTTTAGAATCATCTTTCTATTCTTCTTTTGTGAAATACACTTGCCTTCATCAAAATGTTTGACTAAACAGAGCAGTTAACATTTCATTTTTAGAAAGTGTCAGAATTAGACTTTTATATCCTTTGTCAGATACCTAAAGGAGGCATCTAATTTTCCTACTCACTGAGTACTCATTAAATAGGAGTAGATTGAAACTGATGTCAGCTCTACATGTTGGAAAACATTAAAACGTTTGTTGTGAGCCTTTACGGGAATTTAAGAAGCTTATTTTTGCCATTCAACTTTACTTAAAGAAAAAAATGCATATGATACTGGATGTGTAGAAAACACGTGGTCTTGTTTACAAGTTCCGTGCTTGAAATTTATGACAAGGTACATGCTTTCTACCACTGACACAGTGATTTTAAAATGAATTCAGAATCAGCGTTTGTGTTTCATTCAAGGAATATTATTAATATGATAGATAATGCTATTCAGTATTCTGGTGTCTGAAGATTTCTAGAGGTCTATTTTTTCATCAAATGAAGTATCTGAATGTCTTATGGAGCTCAAAGACATCAGAGGCTGGATGTTGTCTGAGATTAATACAAAAAAAAAAAAAAAATTTGAAAAATTGGAAATGGATGTTGATTCAACCTGGATCTTTGTAGGTTACAAAGTGAAGTAAGCATAACCATATCCTAATTTCTGAATAGTATTCTTGACTATGGGATGAAAAAGATCATAAATTTTCAAATAAAATATTGAATCTCAGTGAAAAAAAAATAGTCTTTTACTTAAGTTACAAGAATAGGGCCTTAGCAATCAGTCTTACATTCCTGCATTTACTAGGCATCAAATAATACAGAGCTTTATTTAATTTTTTTAAAAAAAAAAGGAATATTTAAACAGCCTAATTACATTTCAGGACTCTGTGGCAGTGTATTCCAGTCTTCATCATTGTTTTAAAGCCTGTAACTTTGAAACTATTTCTGTTGTTTAGGGAACCATGTACAAATTGTTATGTAGTACCGAAATTGTTCTGGATGACTTTTGAAGTTGCTACATATCCAGGGCAGTTCTCTTCTGAACACAAATATATTGAATCATAGAACCATAGAATGTCTTGGGTTTGAAGGGACCTTAAAGATCATCTAGTTCCAATAACCTGCCATAGTCAAGGTTGCCACACACTAGATCAGGTTGCCCAGGGCCTTGTTGAGGTTAACACCGAGATACCGAAGACAGAATTTTTCTGTTGGAAACTAGTCAAAGTCATAAGTTCTGTTCAGAATGTATCTGTATCAATGTCAGGAGAAAGGCAAAGTGATTTTTTTTTCATTAGTTTGTCCTCCCGTGTTTGATGTTTTTTGTCTCTGGCTTCTGAAATATTAAACTACCATTAAAATTGCACAGTTTTTGTTTGTTTGTTTGTTTGTGGAATCATTATCTCTTAAGGCTAAGAAGAGGGATATATCATAACAAAAAACAGTCATCTGGAAAAGTGAGTTCGTTTTTTTTTTTTTTAGAACAGTCTATAATCTGTTTAATTTAAAAATAAATTAACTAGTTTTGCAGCTGAAACTTCTCCCATGTTTTTTCTCTAGTCCAGCAATAGTTTTAAGTCACTAGATAGACCAGCTTGAAGTATCCTAGTAAATAAGAGCGAATTCACTAGCAAAATTTGGACAGACTGGAGAAGTGGGCCCATGAGAACCTAATGATTTTCAACAAGGCCAAGTGCAAGGTGTTGCACTTGGGCTGGGGCAATCCCAGGTATTTATACAGACTGGGAGAAGAACTCAAGAGCAGCCCTGTGGAGAAGGACTTGTGGGTCCTGCTGGATGACTGCATGCTTGCAGTCCAGAAGGCCAACTATGTTCTTGGCTGCATTAAAAAAGGGTTGGCCAGTAGGGAGAGGAAGGTTATTGTCCCGCTCTACTCTGCTCCTGTGAGACCCCATCTGGAATTATGCATGCAAGCCTCGGGCCCCAGCACAAGAAGGATGTGGAGCTCTTGGAATGGGTCCAGAGAAGGGCCACTAAGATGATCAGAGGGCTGGAGCACCTCTTCTATGCAGAAAGGTTGAAGGAACTGGGCTTGCTTATCTTGGAGAAGAGAAGACTCTGGGAAGACCTCATTGTGGCCTTCCAGTACATGAAGGAAGCACATAAACAGGAGGGGAAATGCCTGTTTCATGTGTTGATAGTGATAGGACAAGGGGGAATATTTTTAAACTAAGACACAGGATATTTAGGTTAGATATTAGGAGGAAGTTTTTCACTCAGAGGGTGGTGAGGCACAGGAACATGTTGTCCAGAGACCCTATGGATGCCCCATCCCTGGAGGCATTCAAGGCCAGGCTGGATGTGGCTCTGGGCAGCCTGCTGTAGTGGTTGGCAACCCTGCCCAGAGCAGGAAGTTGAAACTAGATGATCTTTAAGGTCCTTTCCAACCCAAGCCATTCTATGATTCTATGAAAAGATAAACATGGCTACGTTTCTCTGGGTGTTGGCACATAGACCTCTCACACATACACACCAGAGCAGTTGGGAGAGTGAGGAGTGAGAACTGGCCCTGTTCACACCAAGGTCAGTGAAGAAGGAGGGCAGGAGATATTCCAGGCACCAGATCAGAAATTCCCCTGTGGACTGTGGAGAGGCTTCTGGTGGAACAGGAACAGGCATAGATCTAGATCTACACATCCTGTGACTTGCAGCCTGTACTCCATTCACTGGTGCTTAGACCTTGCAGCACTCACATCAGAGACTGAGATTACACAAAAGAAATAGTTATGAATGGAATTTTAATAGATAGCACCAGGCTATGGTGATCAGGCATGAGGCTCTGTCAGACATGTTTAAGGACTGTCAGCCAGGTGCATCAAGCCCCTTTTATCTTATTCTTCTTTCTCTCCATTTTCCCACATGTCCATGTTCCTCTATAAATCACTGTGATACACCTCTCACTCTGCTTCCCATAAATAATGTTTTACAAAGACCCACAGGCCTCTTATGATATGCTAAAATGTTTCACACCATCCCTCAAACCCCCTCCAGATATTCCACAATGCTCCTGATAACCATGTTCCTATCCCTTATCAGTTTGCAAGGCTCTGCCTATTTCCTTTAGTGGCCCGTAATTTCACAGCCAAATAGTTGTGGTCTTCATTATTGTCTCCATTATAACCTACTCCTCAATGTTTGTGCATCTGTGCTTGTTATTAGCTGTTTCTTTTATTCTCAACAAAATTATGTAGTAAACCATATTCTCTTTCTTTCCACACACCCTTAGAGTTTCACGCTAAGAAATTACTCAAAATACCTTGTCATCCAAGCCTGTTTACTACTGTTACTTACAGACTTGACCTGCAATGTGCTGGGTGTGAGGAGAAAGACAAGAATTCCTGCTGGCACTCCAAGCTGTCTTCCAACTCCACCACCACACAAGTAACATGGATAGATATCCTGTGAAGCAAATCCCTCACATCTTGAACTATGTTTCTTAAAGGATTCACAGGTTCTCAGCATTCTTCTGTTGCATTTCCACTGTGGAAGTAAGATTTAGAAACAATACACCTACATTTGGTAAGAATTTAGTAAAAATAGTGAAGACAAGAAACAGATAAGAAAAGGATTTGTGCTGTGAAAAGACTAGTAATTACAGATGAAGTAGGAAAACTAAGAATTAAGAAACTCTGAAAATAGGGTGGAACTGGGCAAATTAAATATACATTTATTTTTTTTTAGATTTTTGCTACATATCTTTTCATAATTTGCTGCTTTTTTGACTTTTCAGTTTAGACTGTTAGTCATCAAACGTGAAGAACTCGTATTGCATTTGACTTCCCGTGTACTTATATAGATGACCTTTGTGATTGGTTAGTGAAAAGCATGCAGCAGGAATGTAAGTTCCTCTAAGTTTCAGACAGGTTTCTCTCAGGATATGGCATGATGGAAGTGATTCATGGAAGAGTATGAAATATAAAAGTATTTCTTACATATACATTTCTTTTCTTTGCTTTCTATGTAGTGCTTGTCAATTGGTAAATGCTGAAAGAATATTTAGAGTCTAGACTTTCCTTTTTCAGAAAGCTTATCTTTTTTTTTGTTATTATGATTTTTCTACCTAATGCAGATACAAATTCAACATGTATAAACAAGTCTAATAAAGCAGTAATTGTAAGAAAGAGTTTGCACTGTAGTGAGTCATTTGTTAATGAGTTGTGTTTTTTTGGTTGGTTGGTTTTGTTTGTTGTTGTTGTTGTTTGGGGGGGGGAGTGTCCACAATATAAGTGTCTGGCACTGGAAGACAAGTTAAATAAGAAATCTTTTCTAGTAATTGCTTTGGATGAAAGAGTACTGATGACAAATTTAACTTTTTTTTTTTCTTGGGATTTTCTGTTATCTAGAGTCTTGATATATCTACTCCATATGTTATGAAATATCCATTTGGCCAGTTTGAGTCAGCTGTCCTGGTTCTGTCACCTCCCAGCTTCTTGTGCACCACCCGCCTCCTTGCTGACAGGACATCAGGAGAAGTCAAAAAGTTCCTGACTTAGTGTAAGCAGTGCTCTGCAACAACTAAAACATCAGTGTATTATCAACATTATTCTCATCCTAAATCCAAAACACAGCACCATGTCAACTGCTAAATAGAAAATTAACTTTATCCCAGCCAAAACAAGGACACCCTGCAATTCACCCTTTTTGATGTGGTTTCTTATAATTTTTCTTTTATTTATAAGCTAATAAAAAGTTAATCTGACTCAGTAAAGTTTAATGTTTGGCAACAAATTCTAAATATAATTTAATTTTGATTGAAAAGAATATAGGTAAAGTAACTAATATTTATTGTGACTTGTCTGATTTCAGTTTAATCTCATGATCAGCAAGAAAATTCAAGGTACAAGAAACAGGCCTGAGGAAAAACACAGCACAGCAGCCTTTGCCATTGTTTTCAATATCAAATGAGTATTACTTCTGTCTTCTGATGAGGGAAGCATCAATGGTATACATTCTTATTTAACTATTTTTTTAAATTCCATTTATTTACAGGATCTTAATTAATATAATAATGATTCCACATATCACTGTTTCTCTCTTTTTTTTTCTTGTTTGTTTGTTTTTGTTTGTTTGTTTTAATTAATCTCTTAAGCAAAAGCTTAGCATATACTTATTCTTGGTAGATAAATGTAGGGATATGCAGACATACAAATATACATATACATGTAATGCTAATGCACAAAAGATAGATTTATACTTAAGCATGCAAATACTTGCCATGTAGAAGCCTCAGTGATTTCAAGAAGAGCTAAAAAGTTTTGAGAGGTTGCCTTCTCTGTGATGCAACTAAAAATTCTCAATCATTTTTAAAAGTTTCAGATTTTTTTTTCATTATTTCTGTTTAATGGTCAATACAGAAATATGAGGTTTTTGTTGTTATTGCTACTGTTGTTTTTCTCAAGTTTTCTAAAGATCTTAATATTTCATAGCAATTCTACTTGCTCCTTTTTGGTTACACATAAGAGTATTTTAATATTACATTTTCAGAGATCCATAATATGTAAGATGCCCCACAAGGTCTGCTTTATTCTGTAAAATGTTGGAACTCATTGTGCCTATTTCTACCTATTTCTTCCATAATATACAATGAACTTAGGTAAGTGCTACTGCAGTGCAGACAGAGAAATTCCTGAGAAGAGCAACCAGGAGAAGAAAGTCAAGTGTTTTCAAGACTATGGAGAACCCAGACTTGTCAAGCCTGAGATTGTCTTTCTGTGAATCTAATTGACTAGTGGAGGTTGGGGGACTGTTCCTAATCATGAAATACTCCAAATGGTTGCAATTCTGGCAGAGAGACATCAACATAAATTACATTCTCTGCCAACAACAGGTGAAAATGTATACCTGCAGAATGTCGTATTTATGGGGAGTCAGTTCTGTTGCTCTGTACTGAAAGCCCTGTAAGGCCAGCTAATGGCCTTCAAAGCTACAAACCTGACTGTCTATGAGTCTATAACCTATGACTTATTTTTATAAGGCTCATCTGTTTGTGACCCAGGTCCCAATTTTATGAAGCACAACTGTGTTATTGTGGAGGAGCAATGAAGGCTTACATTACTTTATCTCATGATTGACAACCACTGTACAGAAGAGATCATCAGGTCAGTGAGTATATTAGTTATTAGCCTGTTAGCCTTACTGCTCCAATCATTTACCATACCTGTGAGGTAATAAATACTTCTGTGCTCATGAATTGTATACAGAGAAAACATTGCAAGGTTATTTGTCACCCATTGAAAGCTGGCTACCCCTACCCTCAATATTCAAAATTGGTTTGTATTGAATAATTCTATCTCAGAGTCATTGCAACAAGCATAATTTCCCATACTCTGTCATGCACTGTTTACATGTACCCCCTATGTCCTACAAATCCCCCTATGTGTTGTGGGAAAGGAGGATTTATCTCACATAGTTTCACTCATAAAACCAATGCTTTAAACTATACACTATATATTCATTTTAGTCATGGGGAAAAAAGGTCCTTCTCAAAGGGTTAATCATCTCATGCATTATAAAGCATATGTCTGAAAAAGTTTGTATGAATTACTGTCTGGAGAAGCCTTCTCCACTGATTAAAAAGGAACACTATAAGAAAAGAACAGAGATAGAGAATTGGAAGGGAAAATGACAGCCATCTAATGTCAGGTGGGATGAGTAATACTCATGGAAGCTCTAGAATACATGGGAGCTCTAGAAATGTTGACAAATATAGGAGTCAGTAAATTTGACATCTGCTGTGAATTCTAGCAGGGTAACAACAAGAGGGTAAATGTTGTCCTTGTCCTTCAAGTGCAGTGGGAGAGCACAAGAGCATTTAACTGTAGGTGGAATTTTGTTGGAACATGGAAATCTACAATTACAAGTCCATTAGGCCTGGGATTTTAAATATGATCTCAAAGTTCTCCATATAATCTAATAAATTATTCTGTAATAAATTTAATTGTGTATAGGTATATGTGTATATATAAGATACCTCTCCTCAAAATTAATGCACACAGAGAACTAAAATGAAAGTTCCCACTTCCTTTAATTTTAATTTCATCAAAATAGAACAATAGTTCCCCTGGAGTCTCTACTTATATAAAATATAACACAACATGTCTTTATAAAACAGTGTATCATATACTTAGTCCATGATTCTATGACAATTAATAAAAAAATGGTTTGGATATCTACTCCAGGTTACAGAATTAGCTTTTTCCTCTGAACCCATTTTTATAGCATACTGTTGGATTTCTGACTAGCAATGTGACTTTTGAGATAGTGAAATGAAATTGCATGCTTCCTGATATTTATTCCTCTGTGCAGGCTCAGGCTGTAATCTTGAAAAAATCATTTGGGCCCACGTAAGTCAGTAGAAAAGTAAGCATTATTTTCAGTATTTTAGTTTAAAAAAATAATTATTTATTTTCTCAGAACATGTTATTCATAAAAAATGATGCAAAACCAATTTGTATTCCCTTCCCTTCCCTTCCCTTCCCTTCCCTTCCCTTCCCTTCCCTTCCCTTCCCTTCCCTTCCCTTCCTTCCCTTCCCTTCCTTCCTTCCCTTCCCTTCCCTTCCCTTCCTTCCCTTCCCTTCCCTTCCCTTCCCTTCCCTTCCCTTCCCTTCGTTTTACTCTTTTTCTCTTTTTTCTCTCTCTCTTTTTTTTTTTCTCTTTTCTTTTTGAGGGAGCTATTCATGTAACTCAACAGACATGCAGGACAAGCAATTCTGGGCATTATAGATGGGTGTTTTTAATTTCATAGTCATAAATTAACAATCTGTAAGCTGCTTAGTGCTGCATGATAATTTTTTTCTTTTGCTGTAGTGATGATATCGATATGCACTGTAGAAGTCAGTGAATGGCAGTTAATTATGTGCCTTGGATAAATTAATAATACACTTCAACCCCTTTCAATCCATTTTGACATAAAATCTTGGTTAGCTACTTCAGGTAAGCATACAGACTAGAACACTGAACTGATTGAGTTTGTCAAACAACCTATTGCAAAAAGTACATAAAACCACTTCAGGTTACTTGAAGGGATCAGCCATTAAGAGGGAGAAAGTTTGGTGACAATTTCTTAACTGTCCTTATTTTCCTGAAGAAATAAAGGAATTTGCTCAGTGCTATAGTTAAAAGCTAAGGATTCAATCAGCTGAAGATAAACTTTGTGGTGTGAAATATTTTTCCAAGTAGTTCTGAATATAAATAGTTTTCTTATTTCCTAGCATTGGCTTTATAATGAATTTGAATTAATTAGTACATTTGTCCTCAGATATTTGTTTACCTCAAGCTTTTAGATGTTCTTTGATTTAAATCAACAGAATTGTCTTTTTCTCTTTTTCTCTTTTTTTTTTTTTTTGTTTTTGTTTTGTTTTGTTTTGTTTTGTTTTCATTTTTTTCTCCTCCTGGAATATTTTTAGAGATATGTATGTGTCACACTTGTCACTTCTGCATAAAAATAACTTTGAATATTTTTGCTTTTATTTTGCTGATAGGTAGATCATGAGACAACACTCTGCTTGGCCTCAAAATATATGTAGCTTAAGATATCAACTTGAAAAACAGAACAGTTTTTATTTGGGTTTCAGTTATAAATACTTTAACATTTACAATCCATTAATACGTTTCTTCAGAGTTACTGCCTCTTCCTTTAGGAACTATATTTTTCCATGCACTAGATTGCATTTTCCGTTAGATCTATAAAAATAATATTTATTCTTTTGTAACTGAAGTTGAACTCTCAAAACTGTAATTTATCCTGTCCTTAGTCTTTTATTTAAGTAACGGTGTTACACTGGACACTTTCCGGTCTCTCAGGATGTTTTTTGAACTAAATGAGCACACTAAAGTGTCATTAAAAGTCCATTTGATATTCTTGCTAGTTGGAAGTCTCATTTGTGCTTTCTATCTAGTTGAATTACCTCACAAAATATTATACAGTGTTGCACTTATGTTAACTGTTCCTATTTTGATCTCAGAGGTGTCCTATTTTATTTTCTAGCTAAACCTTTCCCAAGGAATGACTAACGTGCCACCCACCTTCCCCCTGTGTTACAGACCTATGCAAACTGAGGAAAGATTACAGAGTGAAGTTCAAGAACTCTTCACTTAGGAGTCAGGTTAGCTAGATCATAACCACTGCACATCAAGCAATACAAGAAAGGTCTGTTCTACTCTACTTTTACTATTTTAAAGTTTCCTATCATATATGTCCACACATCTGTATAAAGGTAGTGTGGAGCTTGTCTTATCACTGAAGAATGGAGCAAGCTTGATGCAGATTGACATCACAGAATCACAGAATCACTATTGTGGTTTAACCTGGCTGGCAGCTAAGCACCACGCAGCCATTCATTCACTCTCCCCTGTCCCTCTCTGGGATGGGGGAGAGAATCAGAAAAAAATGAAAGCCTGTGGGTCCCCCCACCCACACCAGCCACCCCATATAATTGTTCAGCATGACATCACATGGTATAGAATACCTCTTTGGCCAGTTTGGGTCAGCTGTCCTAGGTCTGCTCACTGAACATTTTTTTGAACACAGTTGAAAATGGATGTCCTTTATTTTCAAACATGAATGAAAGTTTTTTAATGTTTTCCAAAAAGATGATGATGGAATGGCACTTATTTAACAGCTTATTTATGACTTCAAAAACTCATTGAAACATTCGTTTTTGACAGTAAATATATATTTATTTTTATTTATTTTTATTTTTATTTTTATTTTTTTAAATACAAGTAAACATGTTACATATTGAGTACTGTGTGCAGTTTTGGGACTACAGTATAAGAAAGATATAAAACTGTTAGAGAGTGTCCAAAGGAGGGCTACAAAGATGGTAAAGGGTTTTGAGGGCACAACATATGAGGAGCAGCTGAAGTTACTTGGTTGTTCAGCCTGGAGAAGACAAGACTGAGGGGAGACCTCATAACAGTCTACAGCTTCTTCATGAAGGGAGTGGAGGGGCAGGCACTATCTCTTCTTTCTGGTGACAGCAACAGGACACCAAGGAATGGACTGAAGCTGCAATAGGTGTGGTTCAGGATGGATATCAGGAAAAGGTTCTTCACCGAGAGGGTGGTTGGAACAGGCTCCCTAGGGAAGTGGTAATGGAGCATGCAGGAGTTCAAGAAGCATTTGTTCAATGGTCTCAGACACATGATCTGATTTTTGGATGGTCCTGTGTGGAGACAGGAATTGAACTCACTGAGCCTTGTGGGTCCCTTCCAACTTGGGATATTCTATATTTCTATGATATTCTATATTTCTGTATTTCTACTTTTGCTTTTTGAGGTAAAGTGTATGTCCAACTCTCCCTTGTTTCTTGTGCAAGTAAGAAAGATGCTGTTCTTGGAAATGTAGTTGTACAAATACTTTGCCTTTGACCAATTGGTTCCTTGAGAAATTACAGCAAAGACCTTTAATTTCTTACATTTAAGCTGCTTAAGTTGATTTGTAGCTTATCCTAAAGCATCTGGATTCCAACACAGAAAGAGAGATTTATAACAAAATTGTGTCACTATTCAAACAAGTGAAGCTAAATGTTCCGATAATGAACAGTTAATATGCATTTGTCGATGATACTAATTATTTTCTGTTAAGGTCTGAGTTATGTCTGAATAACCAGTTTTTACATTAAAAAGCCTAAGGAGATTTGAAAACATTAAAGACAGAAAATCTACTACTGGTGCCTTTTAAAATTTCAGGGGTGCCTGTTTATATAGATGTACAGTTTAAGGATGTCTACTTCACAGCAGTAGTATTCTGTAATCTGTTCATTGTCTGAATCCTGCATAGATAACTGCCAGTTATCATCTGGCATATGGAATTACTATGGCAGTGCATATGCTTTGTAACAGTTGGTGTTCAAATAAAAATTTACAAAGTTAAATAAGAATGTGGCCCAGGCAACAAAGACTAATTACTAGCAGCTACAACAAGCTGCTGATTCCAACACTAAATATTTGTCAGTTTGTTTTTTTAAAGATAAATTGCATTGACCTGTTTTACAGCTCTAAAAAATATACAGACAAAATAGACCTGTATTTTTACAATAAGCATAAAACCCAATAAGCTCAACTTAATATGCTTCAGAAGATATGAAGGAACATAGTTTATTTTTAAATATTTTTATTTTTATTAAGTTTTGTTCATTTGAGACACATTTTATAAAGTAACTGTAGTATAGGCTTGTCAGTACGCCTTCATGTTAGCAAATATATTAAAGTTCTGCAGAAGCATCAGCACAATTCTAGACTCTAAGCTTGTTGTCTCATGCTACCACATGGTTCAAGCACAAAAGATCAGACTCATTTTTATCTCAAATCCTAATCCCACAAGGGTTGTTCATTCAGTTTATTTTTTCTAACACTTTTATTCTATGTTCTATATTTCTAATACCTGCCTTGGCATCCTTGTGATGGACTTTATTGTTCCTTTAAAGTTATGTATTTTAAGTTTGGATCACTGTGACCATTTTTAAGTGAATCTTCTGATTAACCTTATTTCCTGCACTTAGGTTAGCATCATGCAGCCTTCTCTGGATACATCTGTGCACTAGAGATTTAGTGTGCAGGACTTTTGTTTGTGTCTTTGTTTGAACTGGAAGTTTAATTTGCATTTTAGCATATTACAGTGTGTCCTCCAGTGTACCTCTGATATGTTCAAAAGAGTTTACTTCCTGGTGAAAAATAAATAAATCATGCAAAAGAATAGTATAGAGTAACGTAACATGGATGTATTAGATCTGTACTCCAGTTAGCTTGCTGTTCATGTTTCCATGATAGGCAATTTCTGCAAACTTCTTTTCAATAGATACAATGTGAAGTATTGTCCTGAAACTATAGCAAATCACATCAAAGTGATCTTTGGTCTTCCAAAAGATCACTTTGGAACTTTTATATTACTGCTCAGTAATATATGTGTTCCCTCAGAGTGTGCAAAGTGGATTCTCTTCAGCAAAAGATAACCTCAAAAATATGTGAGAATGAATGAGAAATACTACAACTAATGGACATCTGACTAGATGACCATGCAAGAGTCCAAAGTAAAGTCCTTTCACTGCCTTCAGGCATAGTCAACATAGTCAACGAACTAGTTATTCTATAGACCAGCTCATATTGAATTTTCTGCTTGCTAAAATAGATATTACTGTACTCTCCCAGACTTCCATCTATACACTCTACTGCTAAAGTTAATCCTTGCTATCTCAGTCAGCGAATAGAATCCTCTAATTTGGGAGTTACTCTCAATTTCCTTTACAGTTAATAAAGAAAGGACAATTCAGGTGCCTTTCTCTACTGAGAATATAGGAAGCTATAGCTTCCTAAATTATGTTCCTAAATTATCTACTTTGGTTAGATGCCTAAAGTAAGCTGGAATGAACCCAAACTAATTAAGGCTTACTTGGGGACA